CCCGTGCTCGGCGTGGCGGGGTGCAGAGCCGGGCCCGCCTGGGAAGGAGGAGCACGGAGCACGGAGGTCTGGGTTCTAGTTCCGGGCCTCCGCGAGCTCCGTGTGCCCAGGCAGCGCCACACCAGTGCCCGGCCTTGTGCCTCCCATCCCAGGGAGTAAAAACAAGCGTACGACGAGAAAGGAGAAGAAAAAAAGTTACCAAAACATCTTTTCAGAAACTGGATCATTGTCAGGTGGCATTTTGTGTTTTTTTTTTTAGATGTCCGAGGCTGGCCTTGAAGATGTGGTTATGTCTTAAGATTGCAAGGGCAGTTAAATATATTTATATGGCACAGGGTGATGAATTGTGTTGCATAAGTAACTTCCAAGCTGTAGAATGGTCCTTAGCATCAGCATTTATCAGAAAGAAAGAAAAAAAGGTTAATGATAGTCATTTCAGTCTTGATAGCGTGGAAAGTGGGCGAGAGAGGGAGCGTTTAGAGGTAACACAGGTCCCATCTAGTGCTGTTAGCATGAGGTGGCACCGGGGTGTCCGATGGAGTGTAAGATAAGACAGGAGACTGATGGGAGGAAAGAGGGATAATAGTTTAAAAATCCCTTGGGATTTTTAAAAAAATGTATTTTTATTGATTTCTGAAAGGAAGGGAGAGGCAGAGAGAGAGAGAGAAACATCAGTGATGAGAGACAGACAATCAGTGATCGCTGCCTCCTGCACGCCCCCACCACTGGGGATCGAGTCTGCAACCCAGGCATGCGCCCTAACCGGAAATTGAACCCGGGACTCTTCCATCCAAAGGCTGATGTTCTATCCACTGAGCCAAACTGGGTTAGGGCCCTTAGGATCTTTTTTTAAAAATGTGTTTTTATTGATTTTAGATAGAGAAACATTGATGTGAGAGAGAAACATCCATCCGTTGCTTCCTGTGCCGGACCCCGGGGATTGAACCTGCAACCTGGGCATGTGCCCTGACCTGACGTTTGAACCGGCGACCTTTCAGTGCACGGGAGGACGCTCAACCAAGTGATCCAGACTGGCCAGGGCGGTTCTTAGAGTCTTGGTGTAAATAGAAACATAACCGGAAATTCAAGATGATGTTCATTCAACATTTAGGGAGGAGAGAGAGAGAGAGAGAGAGAGAGAGAGAGAAAGAGAAAGGAGAGAAGGGGACGCCTGTGAGGTCTCTTAGTAAAAGGTGACAGGGTCTGAAGAAATGATGAAGGAATCTCCTTAGAGGTAGGAGAATCGTACATTTGACGGGGGAAAAGGTTTTGCTAGTTTGAAGGTAGTACAGTTAGGTATAGAAAGCTAAATAGCCTTCAGTTTACCCACAAACTAGGAGAAGGGAACAAGGTTTTGAACAATTACTCTGTGCCAGGCACTCTTATATTAAAACTTAATAAATTTTAATCTCTGATTCACAGCTGTTATAGCTGCACTATACAAAATAGTCAAAAGTCAAAACAACCCAAATGTCCATAGAAAAATAACGTGATCTGTTCACACAGTGGAATATCATTAGGTAATAAAAAGGGCGGGGAGGGGGTGAGAGAGAGAGAAACATCAGTGTGAAAGAGAAACATCAATCGATTATTTCCATAGGCGCCCCAACTGGGATTGAACCTGATTTTGGGGTCCTCTGGCTCTCAGATGGCCCGAGGACCCCATATACAGAAACTGCTCTCGGCAGGGGTGGGTGCTCCAACCCACTGAGCAACACCAGCCAGGGTTATACAGGGATTTTTAAAAAATATATCTTATTGATTTTTTACAGAGAGGAAGGGAGAGGGATAGAGTTAGAAACATTGATGAGAGAGAAACATCGATCAGCTGCCTCCTGCACACTTCCCACTGGGGATGTGCCCGCAACCAAGGTACATGCCCTTGACCGGAATTGAACCTGGGACCTTTC